CCAGGGCAAGCGCGGCAAGAAATCTGCGGGTGGCGGCGGCGGCGGCGCCGGCGGCGGCGGCAGCAGCAGCGGCGGCGGGAGCCCGCAGTCCTACGAGGAGCTGCAGACGCAGCGGGTCATGGCCAACGTGCGGGAGCGCCAGCGCACGCAATCGCTGAACGAGGCGTTCGCCGCGCTGCGGAAGATCATCCCCACGCTGCCTTCGGACAAGCTGAGCAAGATCCAGACCCTCAAGTTGGCGGCCAGGTACATCGACTTCCTCTACCAGGTTCTCCAGAGCGACGAGCTGGACTCCAAGATGGCAAGCTGCAGCTATGTGGCCCATGAGCGGCTCAGCTACGCCTTCTCGGTCTGGAGGATGGAGGGGGCCTGGTCCATGTCCGCGTCCCACTAGCAGGCGGAGCTCCCCACCCCCTCGGCAGGGCCGGAGACCTAGGTAAGGACCGACGCCTCTGCGCCCCTTCGCCGCTCAGGTGGCGGACGGACTGACGGCAGGGCCGCGGCTGCCTGCCCCTTCCTCAGCCCCCTCTCCCACTCCGCTCTCAGCCTTCGCCACCTCATCCCCTGAACGTCTCCGAAAGGCTGGTCGGTCCCCGCTAGGGAGAGAGGGGGGATGCGCCCTGGTTAGGAGTGTGCGTGTGCGTGAGTGTGCGTGCCAGACAGGAGGGAAGTCTGAGAAAGACTCCAGGGTCATGGGTAAGGACAGTTTTCTTGCCAGCGCCTCCCTTTCTTTTTGGCTTTAAGTTTTCCTTCTCCTTAAAACAAATGTTTCCAAATTCCACCTCCTCCTTCTTTCCGCCCACCCACTTCCTCTTGCCCTGGGGCTGAAATCCTTCCAGGTTGTTCAGCGCAATTTCTCAGTAGTGGTGATAAGAACAGAGCTCACTAGTCATAGAAAACAGCCACGAAGACCTAAACAATAACCAACTTTCCCCTCTCTGGGTTTTTGCAGATGTCATTGTTTCCAGAGAAGGAGCAAATGGACAGTCTAGAGACTCTGGAGCTGGATAACTAAAAATAAATATATATGCCAAAGATTTTCTTGGAAATTAGAAGAGCAGAACCCAAATTCAAAGAAACAGGGCGTGGGGCGCACTTTTAAAAAAGAGAAAGCGAGACAGGCCCGTGGACAGTGATTCCCAGACGGGCAGCGGCACCATCCTCACACCTCTGCATTCTGATAGAAGTCTGAACAGTTGTTTGTGTTCCTTTTTTTTTTTTTTTTTGACGAAGAATGTTTTTATTTTTATTTTTTCATGCATGCATTCTCAAGAGGTCGTGCCAATCAGCCACTGAAAGGAAAGGCATCATTATGGACTTTCTCCATTTTAAAATGGTAACAACCAGAGGAATTTTAAGAACATCGTTAGAAATAAAAATACGGGGATCAAACTGACTTGCAAAATCACAGTCAGTTCATTCCTTTTTACCTTCTTCCTCTGAGGGAAAAAAAAAAAACTTAAAATACAAAAAACAACATTCTATTTATTTATTGATGACCCATGGTAAAATGCAAATAGATCCGGTGTCTAAATGCATTCATATTTTTATGATTGTTTTGTAAATATCTTTGTATATTATTTTTCTGCAATAAATAAATATGATTGAAAATTTTAAGAACCTCAGAGTTTGGTCTATATTTTTAAAGCTCAGGATTAAGTTGGCGGTAAATACTTGCTTGTTTAACTCTGGAGGCACCCAGGAGGGAGGGGGCACTAATATAAACAAAGCAGTGAAAAACGCAAATAAACTAGCTACTGACAGGCACAGGCATGTTATTTAGAAAGACAGCTTTATTATTATTCCAATTTGGTGTTCAGTGGGCTTTGTGGCATCTATCCTTCATCTCTTACCAGTTCTCTAAACAGCGAAAACTTAAATTTGTTACTCACCTCCTCTCTTGCTTATATTTTGAGGGGGCAGTCGTAGAACAGTTCAACGCATATAAGCAATATGAAGCCAGCAGTCTTTTCTCTTGTTAACTCTGTATTTTTGTCATGAGCTCCACTGTTTGTGAGGATTTTTAAATAAGAGGTTCATTTCAGTGAACGGGTGTATAAAGTGTTCTTAAAATGACCTATCTGTACACGTATAAATCAATACAAATGCACTGAAAATAGTAAAGTTTAATTCAGCAGGAAAGAGAATTCCAGTTGTAATTTATCTCTCTCTTTCATGAATGAAAATGATATTTAATGTCATGTTTGCTTAAAAGAAAAGCCAAAGTGAAGAATATTTGCCCATGTTGATGTTATCTATTTGGGAAGCATGCTTTTTTATATGTATAAAGAACATACAACAATGGAGTCAATACAATAAGCAAAAAACCTGAACTTCCAGTATCTTCAGTAACAATTGGAACAATTACAATTTTAAATGCAATAGCTATTCATTTTCTGGTCAGTTCATTAGCAAGTAGATTTTATCCAAAATTACACGGAATTTTTCCTTGGTTACTTATAGGTATACAAAATCTGATGAAGTTAAGTTAAATGGGCAAATGGGGCTTGATTTTTATTTCATTGTGGTTATTTCTGAACCAGGAAAAAATTGGCTCATAACTAATATCATTAGGAGCAATACGTTTGTATCACTCAGTGCTTAACTTTTACATCTAGTTTACTGCATTCAGGTGTAATCTGGCAAGCTTTCAAACTAGAAAATAATTTTGTTGTCTATTTCAAACAAAGGCTATGGCAGATAAGTGTATATGAATCCAAACAGGTTGTGTTTGTTCAACTCAGATTGAGGCTATTATTACCTGAAGGTTTTTCATTCCCTCCCACACAACATCAGGGAATGCTGACATAACAATATTGTAAATTTACTATTCTGAATATTTGAGACCGTATTTTCGGATAAGGACCCTGTAGCATTTACTTACACTGAAAGGTTAGTGAAGGCTTGGGGAATTAATTTTTGGATTTTGGTATTCCTTTACCAAATAACTACATGAGCCGGGAAAGTGATTATGTGTGCATGTATTTGTAGGGTGTGGGTGTATTGGCAGAGTGGAGAGAGAGAGGGAGTGCGTGTGTATAGGGTAGAAATGTAAGGGTACCCTAGAAGAATGAGGGAGAGCACATCAAGATGCTAATTCTCTCTTGTGTGTGTATCATCCTACACCTCCATTTTCTAAACTGTTCATGGAGGAATCTCCTTGTTCACTAGCTTGGTCTGACTATTTGATATTTCAGATTTCTTGACGTACATCAGGATGGAGCTGACTGTCATTGCTGAGAAGGTAATCTCTATCTTATCTCTGATGATTTAAAACCCAGAGGTTTCACAAAAGATAGCCTTTCATTTGCCTTTTTAATTTTTTTCTTTTTTTCTTTTTTTCTTTTTCTTTAATATTTTGTTCTCTTTTCTCATAAGAGAACCCTGTGGAGAAAAGCAAATACCATATTTGTGTTGCTAAACTGAAGGTAATATTTTTCCCCTAGATTTTCAGAGAAATGAATGAATGAATGAAAGGCGACGAATGGCTTTACTTTGAATGAGAATAATTCATGCAAAATATTAACTATTAGAATACAATTTTCAGGTTGCAGACTGATTTTGTATTGCCAATCTCCTCCCCCTTGCACATAACAATGCTAATTCTTTTTTAGAATAGAAATAAAGCCACCTGTATTTCTTTTGCTCTACTATTTTTTTCCTGTTTTAATTCTTTTTGCTACCTATTCTTATTTAAAGGACACTTAAAATGAATTATCTCTGCTTCAGAAGTGAGAATTTAATGTGATGGCTGGACTGGGGGACTCTACCCTTTAGCCAGAATGCATTCACTGGAGGGAAAAATGCTGTATAAAATAGCCTTGGGTGAATTCTATAAACCACTGAGTAAAAATGGTTCCTTTACTGTGCACATAGTTTTTTTTTTTTAATCTTGCTTTTAATTTCGTTGGATTGATAGCCTTCAGTCATAAGAAAGTAAATTTTTGTTCTTATACACACACATTTATTTTCCTTCTTTGTGCACACACTTGCTAAGCACATGCACAGATGATAATTCATGCACAGTTGCAGGTATCCTCTCTAAAGTGGTACAAATTATTAATAAAATAATGTTAAATAGCAACAACTCACATACTGTGTGTACTTTTTTCCCACACTCAACAACGGCACAACCTTCTTGCTCCTGCAGTCTTCAGGCTCATATTCATAATGGAGCTTTTTAAGGGACACTTGGCCTCTTGCAAAAAAGTCGAGCATTTTGCACATTCCACGGTTTGGCAAACTCAGAACTGGTTATTTTCTCTAGACCGGTATCAAGTTCTTCTCAGGCATATGATTTCACTTGAAGTCCTGCCCAGGAATCCTTCAAAGTGAGCGTTTGTCCCGCTCTCATGATGTCAGGCGGTTTTCCCTGCATCTGTAATTTGAAGAAAAACAAACAAACCTGCGGGGAACAAACGCCACGGAAACCCAAACAGAACTCCGTGGGGAGCGGGAGTCTCACCTGCGGCGGGCGCGGGCGGGGGGCTCAGGCCCAGACTCCCCTGCGTGGGTGGCGGTCCGGTGCCGCACGGTGGAGAGAAAGACAATGTCGGTGCCCTCCTCCGACTGCGTAGACCGCTCCGGGCCCCGCGTCTGGCCGCTGCGCGGAGGCGGCGGTTCCAAGTGTCAGCGGTAGCAAAGGCGGCAGCAGCAGCAACAGAGTCAGGCAAAGGCCCAGCCTCAAATTTCCTGAGACAGGCCTGTATTAGCGACAAACAGGGTTCGGGCGGGGGATCCCCGGGGGCCACTTCTGCAGAATTTTCTGCCTGTTGCGTCGTAAGCTGTGCCCCACCCCCAGCACCAGCGAAAGTGGAAGGAAAGTGCACCGTCAAAGTGGAAGGAGAAATCGGTTTCCTCGTAATTTCTCAAAGCCGGCAACCCCACTCTTTCCCGGAAACCTCGAAACCGAGACCTCAAACATGCCAACAGGATTATTAATTATCCTTATTTACTGAACAGCAAAAGATAGACGCAGTAAACCGGGCATGGGATACATTTGCCATTTGCTTTTGTCCCAAGGCCCCAGGACGTGAGCCCACTTAATGTTCTTAGCAAATCAAAGCACGTGTCCTTTGAAGAAGGTGTGTAATTGGAGTTTAAGGCATGTATGGAATTCCCAGATGTCTATAAAGTAAGAAGGAGCATGTGGCAGGTCACTGGAAGGTGGGGCAGGTTAAAATCACTGGCACAAAGTCCCCCCCCCCCCTTTATATTCGCCTTCTTTGTAAGAGCCAGGGAGGTAAACCTTGGGGAAAGGATGGGACGGGATCGTAATGAATGTCCAGCTTCTCCTATCAGAGTCCTAGTAACCATGGTAAAAAGCACATGGTCAGAAAACCTCAAAGAAAACACTCAATTATAGCCGGGATTTCGTGGGCGCCCTGCAATGAGATCGTTTGGGGTTTGCTTCAGCGAAGGCCTCCAACGGCTGTCCTTCTTGTTTACGTGGACTGTTTTCTTTTCCTTCCATTCCCCCCCCCCCCCCCCCCCACTAAGTTTGTGGATGTGTCTTCGTACTTATGCGTGAACAAAATTCCGTTATGGAAAAGAAAAAAAAATGTCTAAGAACATTCATTCCTAAAGGCAGCCTTCTTGGGGGAGGGGAGATTGAAGATTACGAGCAAGTGAAATTAAGTTTCTGTAAAACATGCAGTTTAAACATGGACCAGAAATGAGCGAATGTTCAATGAAAAGACAACCATCAGAATCAGCAGCACTCTTTTCTCATTTCACTGAGGAATATATAGATGCGTATGAGACTGTGGAATCCAAGCGCGAGTCTGAATATTGTTGAGTAGGCATTTTGAATTGTTTTGTTTTGTTTTTGGTTTGAAGCCGGAATCGAAGGCAATATGACTTTTCTCCTTGGGTTCAAGATGGTGCTCTCACTTACCTGCACAGTGGAGCCAGAGGCGGACACGTAAGGATGGGGGTCTGCCAGAGAAGTTGGCCCTGGCAAAGGTTGGCCTTGGGAGGGGGTCGGTGTGGGGTCATCTGAGACTGGGGCCCAGAGAGTGGGGGCTGGAACAAAAACGCGCCACCGACCCCGCCATTGAAGCAGGCGGGAGGGCTAAAAGGACGCGTGGGGGGAGGGGGGGACAAGAGTGTGACAAGTGAAAAGTTAAGCAGGTACCTGAAGGAAGTTTATCTTGCCCAGATGTTAGGGCTTTTATGAAATGTCACGTGAAGAGAACAGATGTACAATTTGCAAATGGGGCCACGCCTGTAAATACAAGGAGGCAAATGCTTGGAGGAAAATCCAGGCATAAATCATCAACCTCCTTTTCTAGTTATCTATTCTCTCCTTTAAATATTTGCCACCAGAAAGAGAAGACACATCTTAAATCGTCAAGTGCCTCTTGTAGCAGACGTCGCAATCCTATCCCCTCCCAGCACTCCCCATCCCCTAGGTGTCTTGGGTGCAGAGGGGTGGGGTGGCCGGCAAATATCTTCTCCCTTCGCGTTTTCCTTCAGGTTCCCCATCCCCCACGTTTCTGTCTTGGCCTCTCAGAGACTTTTGATCCTGAGAAACGTATCGGATCTCGGTTAGGAAAAGCTGAAACTAATCAATTGCCTTTTTGAAGGGGTAGAGAGTGATAAGAAGAGAGAAGGAATGCCCGGCCTGACAGACCCTAAACCCCCAAGATGGTTGGATGGGCTGAAAGATGAGCAGATGAACCGGTGATCCCTCACTCCTGGGGCGGGACCCAGGCTCTGGGGATCCTTGCTACCCACGGGGTAGGGCTTTTAGGAAGTTAAATTATCGGTTTGATTGAGAAGGATTTTTAAAAATCACTTATACAAATAAGAGGCTTTTTTCTTCTTCCACGCAAGAAGGAAGCTCAGTTCATAAACAAAACTAAAATGAATTAGTAGTTGCCCAGTTGTGTGGAAGACAGTTCAATTCCTTTCTCTGTTCTTAAGAGAGATGTTTTAGAAGCTATTGTGACTATTAATGCGTGGCTCAGGCCAGGATCTCTGCGCAATTAAGGTTTTAAATATTTGTTGACAATACTTTTAAGACTGTACATTAAATGAACGAGCTGTTCCATGGCTCTTCGTTTAAATGCCAGAGTATTCCTAGTCTCTGTAAAATTGACATGGCACCTGGCTTATAATTATTATATAGCTGCCCATACAGCTCTGTATTTTTTTTTAAATTTAAAAGTTGGGGAACTTTCTTCCACAATATTAAATCTAAACTTACTGTCAGAGTTTATGTTAATCCTCTCTGGATTTCCAAAGAATTGAAATAAATTCAAAATGATCAACTTTAAGGGTGACAGTTTTAAAAACGACAAGAGCAGATAAACAGACATATCTTTTCTCTCTATGGCATTTAATCCAAATACTCATCCAGCTGTCCCTGGAGGAACTTAACCTTGAGTTATTACCTTTGGGTACATATCATATCTGGTTATGGCCCCCAAAGCGTCCTGGAGGAAGACCTCAGATCCCGCCCCTCTGGGTTTGCCCAGCCTGGATGAGCCCCCACACCCTGACTCTGATACCGGTTGCTTCCCTTAGGGATTTCCAGACTTCCATTTCTAAACATAGTACTGGACCAAACAGTCTAAATTTCTTTTGTTTATGAAACTTAACACCAATCAAAAAATTGTTACTATTGTTGAAAACCAACATGCAGCAAAAAGAGACCATGCCAAGACGGCAAGTTTAGCAGTGATAATGAATCCTTCAGAGAGGTCTGCTGATGCCACCCCTGCAACAGTGTGCTCCATTCCTGGGCAGAGCGCTACCTTGCAGAGCAGCCTTCTTTAAAATGTTCTTATAAATCCTTCTTTCATTATGACTGAAGGAAATTTCTGTTAGCATCTTGTTAAGGTTGCCTCTCTCCTCATTCCACCCTTCGCTTCTCTTGCTTCGCCCTCCCCCCCTACCCCCCATCAACACACACCTTTTAAAACTTTTAACTTTGTAACATAAAAAAGAGACCTGGAGCAGAGAATCCTTCTTCCTCTTCCTTCTCTCCAGGCCTCGACTGAGTGAAACTTAAAACACATCTCATAGATCAGTTTTCCTTCTCTGAAGTTAGGCACAGTCCACGACCCGGATTTTCAAATAGCCCAGGCTGGAGTCTGCAATATTTAATCCAGTCAGCTATTAAATGTCCTCCGGCTAAATCAAGAGTATAAGAATCCGTAGTAGGATAATGATACCAAGAGCAGTTTGGTAAAGGAAAGGGGGGCTGGGAGGGGACAGGGACTCCAGGGATTCTTTGATTTGGAAAATCCTGTTTTTAGAACTCCTGTCAGAGTAATAACAAAGCAAAGAAACATGAAAGAACAACTCTTTGTTCCAGGATATGGTTTTAATGAAATACTACTAACACACACACACTCACTCACGAAAAGAAAAAGAAACAAGAAAGATCTATTAACAACGGCGTCTGAGACTCCACTTCTCCTTTACCTATTAGGGACTAGCACGCTGCGCAACGTGAACCCCTCTCCCCCTTTTCTCCCGCCTCATTCCCTCCCTAATTAAGCTGAAGTGATAGTTCAGAGGAGTCCCGGCGCACCTAACCACAGCGACACTGCCCTCCGCTACTCGTCCCTTCTCAAAGCACAGGCAGCTCCCTCCCCCACCCCTACCCCTACCCCCGCTCCCGCCTACGCCCCGGGAACTTGACTGCTGGGGCTTTGCCTTCTCCCTTCCGAATGAGGGCATCCGCGCTTTGGGAGCTAGTTCTCCCGGTCCCTGGCGGGAGGCCTTCTTAGGACCCCAACACATGTGACACCAAGGGGATGGCGTGCCCCAAATCTGCCCGCCTTGGCTCCCAGCTGACCCTGCCCAGCGCTTTTTTGTTGACTTAAAACATCCGGAGGGACTGCAACTAATATAGCGGACGGGGCTGGGGGTAGGGGAGGAGAAGGAAGAGGCAGGGGGTGGGGATCACGAAGAGAAAAAGCAACAGCATTGGGAAAGAGGGGGAGCAACTTTTTAGGCAGCGGGAACCAGAGATTTGAGCAGCCGCGTCTGTCATCTGTAACAGCGGACAGATAAAAACCGTCCCAGATCAAAGAGGTTCGTTCATAAATCACCCATAAGAAACGGATTGTAAGGAGTAAAAGACACGTGTCGAATAATCTCAACCCTGGAGTCAGCTAGCTGCCAGCGCCCTTCCTAACGCCCCCTCTCGCGGTACCCGGGCAGCGAACGCGTCTTCCAGCAGGGAATGTATGTGGGGGGAGGTCTCTCCGTGCAAGTAACCGCCCCCCCCCCCCCCGCCCCGGCCCCCGTCAACCTCCTACCCTCAACCCCGCCGCCCCCTAGCTTCCGCCGTAGACGCCCGGTTGGGCCATCCCTGCTCCAGGCTTGAGATTCAGTACAATCGTTTGACTCTGGATTGACCAAGGAAGTCGTGGTAAAAATTGGAGTCTTTTCATTTCTGAGGCCAGAACGTTGCTCTTTCGGAATCGCAGACATCTCCCACTCTAGATCCCCTCTTAGTGTCCTTGTCCTTCTGAGGATCCCTCTGGGGAGAACTTGGACATTTGCAGCCTTAGGGTGCAAATGTAACTCAGCCCATAGAGGCAGTTCGGCAAGAGCACAAATTGCCTGGGCGGGTGTTTTCTGTTCCGAGTTTTCTAAGTTTCGGATGAACAGTGCTTTGCACTGACGTTTGCCGCACCAGTGTAATCTGTAAGGAGCACTTGCTGTTTCTAAACTCAGACCAAGCGAATTCCCTTTCTCCGCCTCCCATCTCCCAAGCCCCAGACTCTCTCGCACCTGCTTCTCTTGGTTGAAAAAACAAGCGAAAGCGAATGTCCAGTACCGCGTTCTAAACTCTCCAGCCAGCTGTTCGGAGGACCCTCGCAACGCGTATTGGGCGAGTTTAGAAATGCTGTGGTTGGCCATCCCCAAGAAAGCAGTTGACAAATCTAGGAAAAGGTAGAGCTTGTGAATTTGTGCGAGGGATTTCCAGCGACAAATGCCTCTTACTCCTTCTCTCTCAGTTTTAGCATCCTCCAGATAAGTAGGATTTTGCTTATAATAGGTGTTTATGGTTCCAGGAATTGCACTTTGATCTAGGATTTTGGGGGTGGAGTGTCTAAGGGGTCTCTAGACGCTTGTCTGATTTGAATGCTTTTCAGGATGATTTATGGCAAAAGGCTCCTTTCTGACACTTCCAGATGCCAAAGCTCTTACCTTCCTGGAAGGGGTGAGGGAAACCTGCTTCCAATAGCCGCGAGGATGGGAGCCAGCGCGCCTACCACGCCACCCTGCGGGTCACCTTAAATCGACAGCACACACCACCAGCCTTGGTGAGCAGCTGATAACCTTTCCCCTCCTTCCAACTTAAGGAGGAGGGAGAAACCTTTTCTTGAGAACCAAGCTGGGATGAGAAACCAAGTCACCTCTGTCAAGTTAGTCTCTAGCAGTTAACTCTAGTTTATGCAATTAACGAACCACCTGCCCTCGCCCCGTTGGTGGTTTGGTGTTAATGCGACTTGACCCACCAATGTAAAGCGGGGAGGGAATAAGCCCTCCGTTGGGACCCCTGGTGGTTTCACCCGCCGGCCTCAGTCTCTGGCCGAGGCCGCGAGGATCGCAATCCTGGTTACCGCGGGGCGGAGGCCGGGACCGAGCTCAGAAGCAGCCGGGGCGTCGGGGCAGAAGTGGGGGGTGGGGGTGGGGGTGGGGGTGGAAGCGATGTCTTTCCGAAAGCTCCCCGCAGTCGTAGGACCGTGAGGCGAGGCCAGGAAAAATAACCCTCCCGACTCAATTACTGCGAGCTCCACCGTGAAGCTGAAAAGCTGAAACGTGCGGCGCTGCAGGGGGGCAGGTCAGACAGGGCGGACGCTAGTGCGATTTTAGGGGACCCCTAGGGCCCACAGAGCAGAGAGCGCGCTGAAGACATTTGTCAACCTGAAGCTAAAGGTGGGCCCGACCCACAGTAGCCTCTAGCGGACGCTTTTTCCCAGAGGAAACGACGGTTTCTAGCCGTTTCTTCTCCAAAATGTAGCTGATTGGGCACTGGGAAGGAGGAACTTTGTTTTCTTTCTTATTTCCCAAGGTGAAGGCAAATTAAGGAAGGAATTAGCGGAGCAGCCTCGAAGACCAGCGGTGAGGAGGGTCGAGGCCAGGGCACTGCTAGAAAATGTATGATTACAGAGGAAGGTTTAGCCCTGAGTGATATTCTGGTTATTTGCTTAGAATCCCACAAGGCTGGGAATCTGTGATATTTGGGAAAGAGTGTCTATTTCAGCCTTTCTCTGACGAGTCTCCACACTCCCTTCTCCCATGTCCCTTCGAGGTTAGTAACTACTACAAAGTCAAAGGTTTGTTTTCCCAATTGAGAAGTAAGCTTGATTTCCTGGGTGAAAGAGAATGGATTAACTCAAGAACCTGAAAAAAAAAAAAAACAAAAACAAAAACAAAAAAACACGTATTTTCCAAAGTACAAGCTTCCTTCATTCTTTATAACATTGCAAAACTAAGAACCAGATCAGAGTTTATTGGTTTATGCAGAAACGATCCTGATTTGATAAGCTTAATCATATGACAAAAGACAAACCGATTATTCCCCTCCTCTCTAAAGGCAGCCTGAGAGGTTTTGGAAGTCACTGCCTTTTTCCTAGAATTCCAATCACTACATCAAAAGACTCAGGTCACCTCTTGTCATTTCTGTATGTATACATTCAAGAGCATAAAAATATTAAATAAAAAACTTTTCCAACTTCAAACCTATCAAATGTTTAACAGCTGAAGGATATTCATCTTTAGGAGGCAGGCCAAATGTCAATAAAAATTTAATTATTTCTGAAACATATGGGAGCACTTACAAGACCCAAAATGTGATACTAAGTATTGATATTGAGAGGAAACCAAACAATATACTTTCATATTTGCTGGTCAAGACCTTATACCCTGAAAAAAGTTCCACAAGCCACAGAAATTTTTATTCTTCCTGACAGGGTTTCTAAAACTAGCATGAAAGACAGGTTGGTGGTCAAAGGGGTCATCTGTATTCTGTGTAAGGAAAAATTAGTGTTGAACTCGTATGTGTTTGGCATTTGTTTTCTGGAGAAAACTGTGATGTCTATGATAGCAAATTACATTTCAGTAGGGGATGGAGGGAAGGTGTACATTGGTGTGGCCATTTTTGATTTTTAATACCTAACACAAACTGCTTTTCTGAAACGTTACATCCAAAATTTCTTTCCAGCTTATAATTCTGCCGTATTGAGAGATAGCCTTTTATGCTGGAAGGGACATTGGTGGTATTATTTCTGCAGTTGGCTGTGATAAGACTGGTGTGCAACTTGGAATAATGTCCAAAATGTAATTAGGGTCTCTTAGGTAGCTACTTTTTTCCACTTAGAAGCATTAGCTTGTTTTCCATTTACAGCTTCCATAGGACTTTTGCTTTCTAAAAAATGACATCAAACTTTAACTGTTGAATTGTAGGTTAATTTGCTGGTCAGCTGCCACTTTTGGACCAGTCCTCTGATAAATCCTGATAGTTGGTTTGATTTCATTGTCATCATTTCCAGGTTTCATTGTGGTTCACTTCACAATGCCCTGAAGAGTTTCTTTGGTACCTCGTTTTCTGCTTCCCTAGACAAGAGGTTCTCAGTGTCAACATTAGCCTGATGGTGATTTGCATACCTTCCTGGATTGATAACCCATTTAACTGACAGCGAAGGACTCTGGAGTACAAAGTGTTTAAGATATTTGCCCAAGACTAACTGGGCCTAATCTGGTGCTCTTTTCTCTACTTAGGAGCATGGTTTTAAAATTTTAAGCAGGTTTGTAAACTCCAGAATTGGCCTGAGTATGAGAACTACCCATTTTCTTCTAGCTGATCAACCATTCCCCAAGGCTCACTATTTTTCTCTTTTACTACAGTTTTGTATAAACAAAGCAGATAACACAAGACCATGACTCTCTATTAACAAGTGAGGAGGGACACCATTCACTCTGTGTATGGATGTAACACCTGGCCAGCATCCTGTTTAGCTGTTTTATCCTTTCATTTCCTAAGAATGAAAATGAGTAGGGCTTTATTTATACTAAAAATTCTAATAGTAATATTATTTATATGTGTACCTTTCGGAGTACTTGTTATTTTATTTTGATTTTTACAATTACTGGTACAAAGCCTTGTTTGTGGAAAAATGCCCCAAGACCATTATTTTTGCCTTTTATAAGGATAATTACCACTAAGAATACTCTTACGAACTTAAGACTGATGGAAAAAGAAAGATAATTTAACTAGCATGTGCAGAAACTGTTTGTTGGGCAGAAAAACCAGGAGTGTAGTTTGCCCCATGGAGTGATTATGGAATGAAGCAGAACCAAAGGAGAGTGATCATAAGTGGGTTTTCCTACTCTGTGCGAATGATCCCAGAGGTCTTTTCAGTTGGTGATCTGTGATGCTGTTCTTATGTCTGACATGCTTTCCTAGTGGGGTTTGTTTTCATGAGTTACTGATGCAAAGAACAATTTGAAATCAAGTTGTTAGTAGTAGAATTAAGAAAAGTAACACCCAGGTAAAGAGTGTGTGAAATTATTCGAATGTATGGCCACAAGTGACTCTCATTTATTCCTGTGAAAGATCTACCCAATTGTCTGATTGTACAGCTAGAGTTAAATATCATGTAGATCTGCAGAGGCAGTTTCAAAATGTTCATTCTTCCCCAACCGCTTTTCCCCAAGTGACAGACTGCGTGGGTGGCCACTGTGACACTGCCTTCAGTTAAACAAATGCATGATTATTCAATCAACAAACATTTCTTGGGGGTCTCTGTAAAGCCTAAAGGCTATGTAGAAGTGACTGTGTCATGTTCATCATAACAAACAAAGGAACCTCTAATTACAGAAGGTTGGTCTCACCTGTGGATATTTGCTGCATGTGTGCTGAAGGCCTCGCCAACTGTTTCTCTTTGATATTCTAGGGGGTGCAGAAAATTAGAGCCCCCTACCAATGGAAGAATAGGAGTAAAAGTGATTCACTCTGCATTTAGTATTCTAAGAGTGGAAACTTTAGAACAGACAGTAAAAGTGACTCTAAGAACATTGTCTTTTGGCCTTCGCCACTTGTCTTTCTTTTCAGTGGACACTTACCAATCTGTAGCAAAATCCTATATAGTTGCTTATTAGACTTTAAGATTTTTATGCCTATCCAGCTCACTACTATAATCTCAGCATCTTGCTTTAGGACCTGTCACATGGCATTTTTGTTGATTTGAATATCACTCCTATACTATTAGGGAAACTGAGGCAGAGAGGCAGAATTCACATCTAAAGAACAAAAAAAAAAAAAAAAAAAAAGACAATATGACAGTCCCATACTGTGGTGGTGGGGAAATTCATGTACTTGTATCTCATGTTTAGAATGAAACCCAAATAAGCACAAAAGAAAATATTATTAAAACTTTGAGATTCAGACATTAATTTTAACTTACGTGTTTTAGAGTGCTTTCTATATGGAGCCCATAGCTGCCATTTGCCTATATAATTTCTTTGTGTGAATAAGTAAAGGGATCCCTTTTTCCCAGGGCTTATGTCTTGCCTGTCAGAGCAGGGCTGACATCAGGTCCCATTGCCCCATGGACCAAATGCCTTTGTTCAGTAAACATCCCTCACAACCGTGGGTAGCAGCCTTGGTACCTCAAGAGCAATAATTGTCAAATGTAATAAGAAATCTGGCTAGCTTGTTATCAGTATGTTTTCAAGTCTATGAAATTGATTCCACTTGATTTCTGTCAAAGACCCAAATAGAGAGTCTCCACATGTGCTTCTAAACCAAACTGGGAGGGTCTCTTCTCCTGATCCAGCCAATTCTATTTTCCTATATTCCTGTGCTATAAAAAGCTCTATATTGTCCCATCACCTCCTAAAACAGTATGAACACTGGTAACTAAACAGTATATGTCAATCAGTATCTACTGAAAAACTGAAACTCCAAGTTACTTACTTATTGCATATATATGCATACATTATTCCAAACCCAAGAGTGGTGGTTTAGAGATTTAAATATAATTGATTGTGAATTGAAAAGAGGTATTCTAAAACTATTTTAAATTTGGTATGATTAGTATGAATGGAGAAAGCTGCTTCCCCACACCCGTTCTTCTCCTGCCTTCCCCCCTCACTCCAGGGATGTGGTGAACTTGTGTAATTTAAGGCAGGTGGTCCACATAGTAGGCTGACCACAGAGGATGAGAGTGTGTGCATTTGATACCCTGACTGCTGCTCTTTAATAGACTTTAAATATACTATGACTATTATTTGGCTTTTGGCTATTACATTTATTTTCACTTTCTTTCAAAGGCTTCTCTCTTTCATTTCGTCATTTTCCGCACACTGAAATGCAACCCAGGTCCAGTGGCACCAACCAGAGAATTTATCTATGTTGTCATCAAACTGGATGCAAACGAAATACCAAAGGGGGGCAGAGGGCGCCACTATATAGGGCTCTTGAATGCTGACAGAAAATGCATGCATTTTTCTTTGCCTAGGTAATAACAATACTTTATTTTTATATAAAGCCTTTCATCTGAGAATCTCAAAGGCCTTCAAGATGTCGTTTGGGTCTGGCATTCTTCAATTGGCTGCCCTTTGTCTCTTTCAGTAAGGAAACATTCCTGCTGGATGTAGTTTCATAACTGATCTTGCACTTGAGTATGCACATTCAGGGGCCAAGGGCACTGAGTGTTTCTTGAATAGATCAAACAAATGGCCAGTTATGACATTCTCAAAACAACCCTGAGAGGAAGATGGGTGGCAAAGGTGATTATCTAATTTGCAGATGGAGCAGTTGTGACACAGCAGGTTAAGTGACTCACCTGAGGGCACACAGTGGAGTCTTTGTTACTGCTGGAAACAGTAGTAACATCTACCAGACCATTAGCAAGGTTCTGTTTCTTTGACATCCCACCTATCTGCTCCTTGCCCTTTCAGAATGAAAATCTCTAAGAAATGGCACCCTTGTGCGTATAAAAAAGGAGAATAGAGTAGCAACTTTGGAAATGTTTAAGATGAAATGTGTGGGCCTTACTTCTTCAGAAAAATCACAGCTTCTGTTCAAACTAGTGAGTCTAAAATATAAAAGAAATATCCCTTGCACATAGAAAGTGGAAGTATGATCTTTAAATTCCATTCCTTGTAAGTAAGAGAGCACATGTTGGTCTCAGCCAGGAAGCATAGGGTTAGTGGGATATGTATTTATGTATAGCTATATATGCAAATTCCTTAAGCTATTTGCACATTTTAAAACTTAAAGGAACTTACCTTACTTGTAACTGTCTTTTTCTTTCCTGGAATTTTGTTTTGCTCATCATTTCAAGCATTGCTACTGGCTTCACATCACAGTTATTAATCTGGAAGAGCCCTGAATCTGGATTATTCCTCGGTATAACTATATATAATTTACTATTAACTCCATGTTTGATAATTCTGACTATGATATTACACTTAACGTTTATGTTTTAATGTCCTCTTGGGACACCATATGATAATTTACTTTTACTTTTAAAATTCATGGGGGCATGGATCCCAACTTTGCTTTTGCAAGTAAAGTCACTTCTGTATTTTATTCAAGTAAGAAAAACTAACAGACGGAGTATGTATATATTTTTTTAATAGACAGTACTTCATAATAAATGTGACTGTAGTTTTCATGTGAGAATAATTATACATTTGAAACAAAATAATTTATTAAACAAAAACTTATTTGTTTTGTTTTTCTTTCCTTTATCTTATATTCCATTTGAGTTTCTAACATGGAACCTGTCTTTCAAAGTGAATGATTTTTACAAAAAGCCAAAGAAAAAAATTCTGGAGTGATTTCTATATTATATATCCTGAAGCTGTCATTAGTCCATTTTACTGACAGTTATATATAAAAAGAAAAAAAAATCTTGGGTGTGTGTCTTCCTATTTTTCTAAGTTTAGACATTCTCAGATCCAAGATATGTAATTTAGAAAGCTTAGGAAAAGCTGTTCCATATATAACATTGGTTTTACCATATCAGGGGTAGAAATCTCAGTGATATGCCCATTTTCTTTATCTGTACATACCATCTAGGTTCTCAGCCTCGTTTTGATCTACTCCAGAAGGAATATGCATAAACAAGCAGGAGAAATGATGAAAAAGTTAAAAACTCAGTGATCTTACTTTGCCTGAATTTGAGTCTAGAATCTGTACTGTAACTTGTCATTATCAGTCTCTCTCTTCCATGAAATCGCCATTGCTTTGTGCTCACTCTACAAATGAAGCCATATTTGAGAAAGAAGGTGAAGGTGTAGCAATGTCAAACAATGAAAGATGCTTAAGATTTTTTTCCTGCTTTATTAGATAATCTGAGTATGGCTTTTGCTCTTCTTTTTCTTAGAGTAATCAAACCCTTAATGCTAGCCTTTTCATTGGCACATGTATCTTTGTTTTGAGGTTATGAGGCCTTCTTGCATTACTGATTTTGCCCTAAATAAAAGTTCCATTTCTGATGTATAGTTGAGTTAGTTTAGGTTATGAGTGAAAAAAAGAAGAACAAGTCTAGTGTAAGCTCCACCACTTATTAGCTGTGTTATTTGCCAATTAACTGAATTTATCTGGGCATCAGGTTCTCTAAAATTGGGGAGAGTGGTAGATTATATCACAAGCATTATCATTCTGTCATTGTACGACCTAATATCTCTGATGATGCTTCAATAAAATTCAGTTTTAAATTACCATTGCCAGCTAGCTTATCAAGACATTTTTTCTGTCAGATGCCAAATTTTACATCATAAGATCAAGTAAAATGTATTTTATAAAAAAATTGTAACTTCAAAATTGTGAAATAAAGCATTATTTATAAATCAAAAAACTCTTTCTGAACTTCAAATTACTATAGTTAAAAAGCAAAAATAAAAACTTGAAATCTGGGAGCAAATGCAAAAGTAGTGGTAAATCGATAACATCTCATTGCTTTTAAAAGTCATTTGCTAATAGTTTAACTTTACCATTTTCTTGTTAAAGGAAAGTATTTGTTATTTATCCCTTAATCAAAGATAATTCTATCTTAAATCATAAGGTATCTTTACTAGTCAATATTAATCTTATTCAACAGTTCGTAGCTATGGACCATGAGAGACAATGAGTGTATGTGTTTACACGTACAATTGGCATGCTTATTACTGATAATGAAAAATGATAGGTACAGGGATGTATATTGGCTTTGAGGATTCTTTAAAGTATTAGTTCACAATTTTTCATCAAAATTTTCTTTTTCACGTTATGACATCAAAGTAAGGGTTTAAAACTTGAAACTTTTCCTAGGACTCATTCTCTGAAGTATTTCTGTTTCTTGTTTTGTTTTGTGGTCACTAACCACAGAGAAATTTGTCTTTTTTACATATGCTGGAAATAATTTACTGCTTTTAGAAATATTAAACCACAAAAAAAACCCCAATGTTAAAGAAACATTATGGGTCTGCCGAAGCCCTCAAAAAGCCAGGAAATTGAGAGTTAATGCGGAAGCTCTGATCTGGCTCTATATCCAAGGGACATTAGACCTCTGAAGAATGACAGGTAGAGCCCAGCCCACATACATGCAAATATTAAAAAAAAAATACGGTAGTGGCAGGATGGTGTGGGAGAGGGCACGCATGATCAGTGCAATTTCTCTGAGACACCAATATTCACATTGACTTACTATAAAATAATATTTTTCATAAATACCAATTCTTACCTAACCTTAATATGTAGTCAAAAGTCACAAATTCAATACACTTCTAAAATGACAGTGCAGATTTTGATCTGTGGCATAGATGTATTTAACAGTATTAACTTAACAGAAAGGATATTCTGAAATCAAGTTTTAGAGGTAATATTCACTTGTACAATCTTTGCATATGGTGTATGGATAAACAGTGCTTTCAAGTGTATCTATTTTACTGATTTCACTTAAGAGACCAGGCTATTTACACAGACTAGGTCTCAGGAAATAAAATCTCCTGATGTACATAAGACAGAAGGCAAAAATTCATGATTTTAGTGGATGTATTTTTTTAAAGTGTTGTTTTTCAAACATTACCTTACATATCATCATACAGAAACTAAAATTCATAAATCAATCAAGAGAGAAAATTTCTATTGATGAAAACATTTGATCCAGTTTGTAATTATATTGTATTTAATTGATTTAAACAATGTAATACTTTTCCTCAAGAACTTATACCTGCCTGTTGTTTCCATTTTAGTATTTAATTATTACTTAGTGCAGAAAATATATTTGAATGAGAACATTTATATCAAAAGTGGTTTATTTAAATAATTAAATACATATTTTATTATCACAAACCTAATTCACAGCAAAATATATCATTGGATTGAGTCCAATGCTTCACATTTTTAAATCTACAAGTAGAGAAAGAATTCTAGTGCTTGTATTGTAGGTATGCCCTTGATGGTATTATTGGAAATGAATTGTCATATTAATGGTAACCATATACTTGTAAAAGTATTTCTGTTGAGCTAGAGTTTTGTCAAAATAATTAGACAATGATAATTAAGTAATGAATTAATATATTGCTTCATTTACTGTCATATTATTTGCTTTCTTTGTAAATGGAAAAGAAAGGTGAAAACCAATGTATCAGTTACTTAAAGTAGGCACATTTGGAATCAGAAAGATAAAGAATTTACATGAATCAGAAAGCATAAACTGCTTTCAATTTTAATTAAGAAAACTAATTTTTGTTTTTTGATATGAATATTAACTCACCAAATATAGGGTTTTTTTTTCATTTTAGAGTTCTGTTTTAAAAGCAAATTGACTATAAGAATGAGACACAATGGATGATATATTTAATAAAAGCTCATTTCTCAATATATATTTTAATTCATTGAAAACTGATAATTTGCCCGCCTATGCTAGTGACTTGAAAAATTACTAGTAAAATAACAAACGTTTAATGAGAAATATTTAGCAACCTATTAAGTAGGAGTTGAATTATTTTTATACTGTGGAAAGGACTAATAATTACAGTCTAAAAATACTTTCCACACTGATTGAATTTTTATATATTAATTTAGATCTAAAATCTTGCTTTCTGCACTTGAACATAGAGATGTTAAAACATATTATTGAATAAAGATTATATAATGAAGTCTTTCCAGATTCAGGAGCCTAATTACAATTTTTCACATTACATATTCCAAATCATAGATTTGATCGGGTTGCAGTTCATGTATAAATAAATGAAATTATTCAACCTACTTTTTTAACATAATGTCCCCCCTAAAACACAGGAAATATGTTACCAGGGAGAAAAATTAGCACATGAACAAAAGTTGTCACAACGCACTTCTAAAGATTAAACTTTGTGAGCTTAAAAATCACAGCTTTACAAATAAGAATCATTTTGCCTTTCTATTCTGGGCTTAAAGGAAGGCATTTGACACATTTATATGGCAAACTTAGTCAATGTTTGGAAATGCTTTGTAGTGGCCAAAGGCTGTGCATTTCCTTCTGTTGACCTGATTTTTTTCTTCCAATAAAGTTAATTAATAGAAGATGCATCCAACAGGATTATTGCAGATGTGCACATACTGCAGTGCTAATTGCTCTTATTTTTTACAATTCTGTCCTGCACATGCTTTAATTTATATTTGCCTGAGTTAGCTTTTTAGTGAATTAGCGGCACTCTGCCACACACTGAATAGTAATGTGCTTGCATCACTCGATTATCTCAGATGTGTTATTGTCTAGAATCCATGCTCCTAATTTCCTTACCACCCACACCCATCTCTTTCCTCTGTTTGGAAGGCTGATTTGTGTTAAGAAGGGACCACCAAGCTATTAACTCTAGGACATAACTGGCATTGTTCATAGAGAGCGGGGCTTATGATCATATCACATTTTAACTCTTCCACCAGCATTATCCTTGTTTCCCCAATGCTTTCAAGAGGCAATAACTCCAAATGCCTCGCATGGAAATGATAAACTGCCTGTTGTGCCTTTTCTTTGAAGGAGTTCTCCTGCAGAGTATCATATTTAAATAAATTGCCATTGAGTTTAGCAAGCAGCACAATCATGCCCATTGAGGTAGAGTCTTTTGATCATATTTTGTAATGCAATCAAGGATCACATGAGGATTCTCGAGCAGGCCAGCCTTGCTGTGTGCTAAATAGGCGACAGGAGAAAGAAAACATTAATTGCCCTGAATCCCACTGACATAACAAAGCACACCTGTGTCCCAGATACTCCAGACCCTACGGCAGTGGTTACATGTACGACCAGAGGAACTCTTTCCACTTGATTGATCAGTAATTTCAAACTACCAGATTAAAAAAAATTTCCGATATATTCAGATTGTCAAAAAAAGTCAAATATGTGTACATAAGCACAGCATTTATGTATTTTTATGTAATGGAATGTACTAGATGGGGAGCATGAGACCTGGGTTCTAGGTCCACCTATTTGCTCCCTGAGTTAGTTGACATCTCTTTCGCTGGTCTCCTCCCCTGTCATACCCTCTCAGAAATTATTAAGACAGGGACAGTAACTGCCTACTTACCGAAACAGTTGTCTTGAGGATTACATGAGAGAATTGTTAAGAAGAACTTTAGAAATACAAAGGACTTTACAAATGTACTATTCTGATAACTGTATGGATGTGTGTGGCACAGACTGCGTATGAATGGAGTCCTAGTCTCATTACTGCTTTGCAAACATTATTACAGTATTAATGTTTCTGGAAAAAAGGACTTAGAGGTCTTTCATCTACCGAGGCACTAGTAGGCAATGTCTAACTGACAGATTAATTGAGGAAACTTGGGGACATTCTTGAACTTCACTCAATGGATTTAAATACAGGCAGCAGATGTAGAAGTAGGGGCTTGGAAGGAATTCCCTGCTCTGCTGGTCCAGCATTCTGACTTTCTGTTAAATTCTAAGATATCAATGAGCAAGAACTCATCTATACCATCCCAAATCATTTCCTGCTGACAGATACTGTTTATTAACCTGTAACCCTCTCTGCCTTTTTCTTTCTTTCTTTCTTTCTTTCTTTCTTTCTTTCTTTCTTTCTTTCTTTCTTTCTTTTTTTGTTTTGATGGTTGATGGTATAGGAGAGAGAAATGAGAGAGGGAGAAATGAAAAATCAAGGAAGTAATTAATAAACAAAATTATTTCAGTCTCTTCTAAGACAGTTTTGCAGTTCAGACTTATCTCTACCCCCAAGAATAGGATATAACTTTTATGTTGCATTCCATTGAGATCCCAGAAATCATATGGGAATGCATTTTTGTCAGAATGTTTCTCCTCTTTTATAGAGAAGAAAGGTTTGGTCCCAGTGTGATACCTTACCTCCCTGCCAAAAGGGAATTAAAAAAAGAAGAGAATTGAACTAGGGAAGCATACCTTAGGTCCTAGAGGGTGAAGACTAAGGTTCTTTCATAAATGTTAAAAAATGATTATAATTCTACATCCTTATTATGAGCTGAAGTCAAATAACCTGAAAAATAAATGACCGAAGAGGGAAATGGGCTAAATGGCTTCCACATTACTGTGGAGCCTGTATCAGTTAGCTAGGGTTCCCATAAGGAAGGATCACAGAGTGCACTTAAATAACAGTTGTTTTCTCACAACTTTGGAGGTTATAAATGCAAGATCCACGTGTGGTAGTGTTGGTTTCTTTGGAGGCCTCTCTCCTTGGCTTGCAGGTGGCCTTCTCCCTGTGTCTTCCTGTGTGTTCCTATGGCCCAATGTCCTCTTCCTATAAGGACACTAGTCATATTGAATTAAGCCCACCCTAATTACCTCTTTTAATCTTACTTCTTTAAAAATTCTGTCTCAAAATACAGTCACATTCTGAGGTACTAGAGGGTTAGGACTTCAACATGTGAATTTTGGGAAGACACAATTCAGTGCATAACAGAGCTCCTTTTTATCCAAAGGAGAAAAGAAGTCTCTTCCCTCAATTCCTACAGACACTGCAGAAAACATGAAATGTATTTGATTTACCATCCTGACAATTGTAGGTGGGATTCCTAGGAGATACGGTGACAAGATTTTTGAATAAAACTAAAAAACAAAAAAACAAAAACAAAAAACAAACAAAAAAAAAACAACAATGAAAAAACTAGCTGGAGTAATTAATCAAAGCCTAAATTAAAATCAGAAGTGGTAAATCCACTAAATGATAAAAATTCAAATAATCTAAGAAACATTCTTTTCATTGTAAAAAGGAAGAGCTTCTTCAAACATCTGTTCTTTTTTAGACCAATCCACACAAATAGTCCACAGCCCTATCTATAACCCTGTTTTACATTTCCCCATAGCCTATTTCTTGCCTCTCCAACCTGGCAGCTCAGTCCCTGTCATTCCCACCCCATTTTGCATATGTAAATTTTATGGGGATAAGATATTGTCTGTTTTAGTCACCTCTGTAATACCAATGTTAGCCATACAATGAAAGTTAAGTAAACATATCATGAATAAGTAACAAGATTTTTGCTAAATATTATGGGCTAGGAATTTGGACCTCCAAGTTCTATTACATCTTGTACTTTGTGTGTTGCAGGAACAACAAAAAGTTATCTGAGTCTTCTGTAAGTCCAAAGTGTTTATCTAAAGCAGATCTTTCTAAAAGACTTGAAAAAGTCTGGTTGCAGTCTCAATCAGATCAAGGAACATCTTGATTAGTAGATAAACCTGTGAGCCAATCAGTTCATCAGATAAAAAATCAGTTGTTTATAAGTTAGCATATATCCTATCGATATATATATTACCTCTAATTCTTAAAGAAACCCACAGAGTGATGTATATATCTTCATTTTACAAGTATGGTAATAAAGTTCATAGAGGTTGAGTAACTTACCCAAGATTTCACAGCCATTAACAGACAGCCAGGATTTCAATTTTGGTTTTCAGGTTCAAGGTGCCATGACCTCATCCCTTATCCAACTTTGTTTCTAGTCAAAATGGCCACTCTAGTGGGGTTGGGGATACACAGCTAGTTAGAGCCTGATAATATTTTTAAATATCCTGCTTTCTTAGAAAGATAAAAGAATTTTCAAAATACTACTCTTCTCAGTAAAGTCAAACAAAAATATTGCCTTGTTGTTATAAATACAGCATGTGTAATTAAATACTGGGTGGTATTTTCTGAAAAGAAAGGAAAATCATCCATCCTTTCTCAACTGATTTTCTCATAACTTGACTTCAACTAACCTTATTAATCAGGACAATGAAGAAAAAATTCACAAGACCCATGAGTCAGCCCATTTCAGATTCTCAGTGTCAGCATATGGTCTCAAAGCCCAGACGCAGTATTTTCACATGATGCATCTTTGACTATTTATTACAGGGGAGGTAGGAGAAGAGGAAAGCAGTCTGTTTTGTTATCCATCCAGGAACACAGTTAAGTGTCTGCATTCCCAAAGGCAACTTGGCAGTTTTGGGCTTGGTGCCCACATTGTTCAAGCGGCGTTTGTTCTCAAGTCTCCAGAAGGGCTTTTAAAAAAAATATCTTAAATATTCCTGTTTCTTCATGTCCCCTTCCCATCCCCTAGAGAAATTGTTTAAATCATATGATTGATCTAATTTAGGCAACAACTCTGCTACAGCTCTTCAGCAGGGAGACTTGTTTTCTTTTAACTTTATGGTACTTTCTATAGGACCCTTTAGTCATTTTTATATAATCTCTAGCAATCTGAAGTCCCAGAGTCTCATCTGTTTTTTAAAATGCTTTATAAATTAAATTCTGTATACACAACTGAAAGGCTTTCTTTCCAGTCATAGCAAAATAAGTTCTAAAAATAAATTAAATTTTCTTTTCCATCCATATTTAATTCTAGTGATTGGATTTTGATATGGAATAGAGAAGACATGTTTTGGGTCCATGTGTATACTCACTGTATAGAGGAGGCTTTCAGTAAATGATTGGTGAGTTGAACCAATATGCCAGCCATGTGCCTTGGTCACCTGCCCCAGATCCCTCCTTCACTGTCTCATATTAGTGAGGCCCATGGCCTCCAAAGTCTGTTTCTTTGATTCACATCTCCCTTGCGGCTACCCAGAAATATGATATTCAATCTCTCTACACTCAGTTTCCCTGTTTGTTAAGTGGACAATAATGGTATGTGTCTCAAGAGGGTGTGCAAATTAAATATGATTACCTATCCTTGTAAAGGATAGACTGGTGTCTGTCACATCTTACCCTAATAACTATTCGGTTTTGTTATTATTTTGGTTACTATTATCATCATCACAAAAGATGTGAAAAATATCACTCTTAGGTTTTGAGGAAAGGAAGAAAAGCTATCTCTGAACGCTTTTTCTTATAGTTCTGTGCATGTTTGAAACTGAGAATCCCTCAGCTAATGCCAAGTTGGATGCAGCACAGTCAACATACAATCTTGCTACCCCAAGTCTGAATTTGGTGTTAGCTTTGCCACACTTTGAGTCCTTTCCCAGACACTCACAAACACTCACAAATGCAAAATTGTGTGTGTATAGTGAGGGTGGCAGGTTGGAAGGTTGTACCTTCATTCCCAAATAACATTAGTTTACTGGGATGAATGGTTTCCCCCTTCTCCTCTCCCCCTTCCTTTGGTAAATCTGATTTACTTGCAGTAACTCTGGAACAATTGAGGTAAGGATGACTATTGCCCAGCAATGAGAAAGGTTGTAAAACTGTTTCTGACTTAATAATAGGAAGATTTCTATTGTGTCAGAGAGGGAGGTAGGCTGGGTCACTTGACATCTAGGACCAAGCATTAGTCTACAAATCTTTATGTGATTGATTATTTTCAGTATTTTTTCAAAACTTTTCTGACCACCTAAAAATTTAAGGGTAACAAAATAAAAACCCCTATTTTCTTGATTACTGATCACACTATCCATCCTGCCTCTTCAAGGAAGGACTCTTCTGCTAGCCATTCTCACTTCCCACCAATGCCTCAAGCACAAGAAAGAGAACTAGTGCAAAGCACATTTTGGGTGCTATGTGTTACTTGACATATGGCTAAAACTTCAAGCGTTTGAACTTGCTATCTTGCTCATCAGTGTGACACGTAATCTACTTCATCATTCAAATCAGAGGAAATAATATGTTCCGCATTTTTACAAAATCTAGGACTCCCTTGCAATTCCTGAGATCTGAGTTTGGAACTGGAAATGAACCTTTCCAGAACTAAGTTAAAACTAATGTTGTCAAGCACAGCATCACGGTTCAGAGGGAAAAAAGAAAAACATCCAACTAAGGTTCACCAAGTAAAAGGTTTACCAGTTCCCTTAGTCATCAAATGCCTCCTTAGAAACCATGTTAATGAGTTACATGTAAGTAAATCAGAAACAAAGGTATTATTAACACATGGCTTCACAGAGAAAAAACATTTGCCCACATATTCTTTCAAATGTTCTAAATATTGTTCAGTTCTACAAATGATATGTTGAAAAGTAGATTTTTTACAGCATTATTGAGCTATAGTTCACATATCATACAGCTTATCCATTTAGAGTATACAAGTCAGGGCGCCTGGGTGGCTCAGTGGGTTAAGTGTCTGACTTCGGCTCAGGTCATCATCTCACAGTTCGTAGGTTTGAGCCCCGCATCAGGCTCTATGCTGACAGCTGGGAGCCTGAAGCCTGCTTCGGATTCTGTGTCTCCCTCTCTCTCTGCCCCTTCCCTGCTCACACTTCATGTCTCTCTCTCTCTCTCTTTCAAAAATAAATGAACATTACAAAAAATTGTAAAGTATACAAGTCAATGGTTTTTAGTATATTCATAAATATATTCAAGGACTACCACAGTCAATTTTAGAATAGTTTCATCACTTCAAGAAGAAACCGTTTCTAATTTAACAATAACCTCCCAATGCCCCTATGCTCACCAACCCTAAGCAATTAGAAATCTACTTTTATCTTTACTGATTTGCTTATTCTAGACATTTCATATAGATGAAATTATGTAATATGTAGTCTTTTGTGACTGGCTTCTTTCATTTAGTGTAATGTTTTCAGGGTTTATCGATGTTGTAGCATGTGTCAGTATTTCACTCATTTCTATGGCCAAGTAATATTCTATCATGGATATACCATAGTGTGTTTATCCATTCATCACCTCATGGAAAATTGTGTTCTTCCCAATTTTTAGCTATTGTAAGTAATACTGCTGTAAATGTTTATGTACAAGTCTTTGTTTGGATATATATTTTCATTTTCTTGGGGATGTAGCTAGGAGCAGGATTGCTGAGTGTTATATAATAACTCTATGTTTAACTATTTGAAGAACTGCCAGAGTGCTTTCCAGAGTAGCTGCACCATTTTACATTCCCCCCAGAAATGCCTGAGGGTTCCATTTTTTCCCACATTCTTGTGAGCGTTTGTTATAATCTGACTTTGTGATTGTAGCCATTCTAGTGTGGTTTAAGTACTATCTCATTGTGATTTTGATTTGCATTTCCTTGATGGCTATTGATGCCAAGCATGTTTTTATGTCCTTACCAGCCATGGTATATCTTCTTTGGAAAGTTGTGTATTGACACCCTTTACCCATTTTTTAATTGTGTTGTCTTTGTGTTATTGAATTATATGAGTTCTTTATGTATTGTAGACACAAGTCCCTCATGACATATATGATTTGCAGATGTTTTCTCCCATTCTGTGGGTTATCTTTTCCTTTCTCAATAGTGTCCTTGAAGCACAATGGTTTTAAGTTCTGATGAAGTTCAATTTACCTATTTTTTCTTTTGTTACTCATTCTTTTAGTTATATCTAATAATTCATTGCCAAATTCCAGGTCATTAATACTTATCACTGTGTTTTTTTCTAAGAGTTTTATACTTTTAGTTCTTACATGTATGTTAATTTTAGTATATATATAGTGGTAAGGGCTCAACTTCATTCTTTAGCATGTGGCTATCAAGTTGTCCATTTGTTGAAAGAACTACTATTTCCTCACTGAATGGTCTTAGAACTCTTGCGGAAAATCAGTTGAGTTTAGATACATGGGGTTATTTCTGGTCTCTCAGTCTTATTCATTAGATTTATATGTCTATCCTTAAGATACCATCATACTGCCTTGATTACTGTTACTTTGTAATAAGTTTTGAAATTGAGAAATGTGAATCCTCCTACATTGATTTTTTTCAAGATTGTTTTGTCTATTCTGAATCTCTTGAATTTCCATGTAAACTTTAAGAATTAACATGTCACTTTCTACAAAGAAGTTAGCTGGGATTCTAATTGGAAGTGCATGGATCTCTACATTAATTTGGAGAATACTACCACCTGAACAATAGTAAATTTTCCAATCCTTGAACATGGGATTTTTTCCCATGTATGTAGATATTTTTAATTTCTTTCAAGTATGTTTTATAGTTTTCAGATTTAGTTTTACACTTCTTTTGTTAAATTTATTCTTAAAAACTATTGATTTTGATGCTACCATAAATGGGAATTTTTCTTAATTTCATTTTCAGATTGTTCATTGCGAGTTATGAAAACACTACTGATTTTTGTAATGATGCTGCAACCTTACTAAACTCATTCACTAGTTCTATTAGTTGCTTGTGTGTTTGCTTGTTGTTTTAGTAAACTTCTTAGAATTTTCTATAGACAAGATCTCTATGTCTTTTATTTCTTTGTAGTACCTAACTCTTGGACCCTCCAGTGTAATTTTGAATAGAAGGGGCAAGAGTGGACATCCTTATCTTGTTATTGATCTTAGTAGGGGGAAGTATTGTGTCTTTTAACATTAGGCGTTATGTTAGACTGGATTTTAAGTACATTCCCTTTATCAGGTTGAGAAGATTCCCTTCTGTTCCTAGTCTGTTGAATGTTTTTTGCTTTTTGGTTTTTGGGTTTTTTTTTTTATCATGAAAGATGTTAGATTTGTCAAATTCTTTTTCTGAGTTTATTGAGACGATAATGTGGTTTGTTTTTATTCTACTGAAATGGTGTATTACATTAATTGATTTTCAGATACTAAACTGACCTTGCATTTCTGGAATAAATCTCACTTTGTCATGGTGTATAATTATTTTTATGTGTTCCTAGATGACTAGTATTTTGTTAAGGACTTTTGTATACATATTCATCAGAGATATTGGTCTGTAGTTTTCTTGTGATTGGTTTTGGTATCAGTATTATACTGGCCTCATAGACTGAATTGGGGAGTGTTTTCTCCTTTTCCATTTTTTGGAGAAGATTTTGTGAAAAATTGATATTAATTCTTCTTTAAATGATCAGTACAATTCATCAATGAAACCATCTGAGACTGGACTTTTCGTTGTGCATAAAGTTTTAATTACTAATCCAATCTCTTGTTATAGTTTTATTCAGGTTGTATATTCTTGAATTAATTTTGGTAGT